GACTTGGCCGGTCCCGCCTGGACCGGCTGGACCCGTCCACTGGACCGGTCTAACAATCGAGTGAGCTACCTATGATCATTTATCAGAAGACTAAAATAATTTTAGCACTTTTTTATTTTTTTAATAATAATCATCATTTTATTTGATTATTATTATTTTTTCATTTTATATGATGAAATAAAATAAATTTTAATAATCAATCAAATATAATGCAATAATTATAAAAAAAATGATCATTTATCAGAAGATTAAAATAATTTTAGCACTTTTTTATTTTTTTAATAATAATCATCATTTTATTTGATTATTATTATTTTTTCATTTTATATGATGAAATAAAATAAATTTTAATAATCAATCAAATATAATGCAATAATTATAAAAAAATTTATTCTTTTTTAAAAAGAAAGTAAAATACTCATTTTTTAAAAATTTAGTTGCACTTGCTCCGAATGGACCGTACGCATTAGAAGTTATAAATAAAAAAATTGTGAAAATTTTTTAATCAATCCAATAGTCTGAGACCTAAAAAAGTAGGATAAAAAATAATTTAGCATAATCCAATGGCCTCAATAACTATGATTCATGAGAAATTCACATACAAACAAAGACCATCAAAAATCAATGGATTTAGCAACAATACAACAATAACACTGCAAAAGTACTGTGATACTGCTTCCCATACAAAGCAATACAACAGCTTCTGCCGCTTTGGCACATTTTCTTTTCCCACAATACATTTTGACAATAAGTTTAAACATAATCAAACCTTAATTTTTGAATTTCTTCTCTTTGTTACAAAAACGCCAATAAAAACAAATAACATTGTTGTAGAAATTAGCGATAAAACCTTCCAAGTCATATAAAGGTTATAACGTGCCTCCTGTGTTTCCTGCATATGATGAAACTCAACAATTTAAAATATATGAGGATCAATTCTTAGAAAATGAAGGAAAAGCAATGCATGGTCATTTGATAGTAAGGCTTATGAGATTGTTGGGTTTAGGCTTCATTTGGGACGGCTTTTTTGTTGTGTTTTAAAATGGAGCTTTAGTAAAAAAAATTAAGAATCAATAAAAAAAACCGTCCCAAAAGAAGCCTTAGTCATACCATCAAATGAATAAAACATATGTTGGCTAAAAAATACTAATGGGATTAGGCCCTCTACAATAGATTTAAGCTTTTGAGTTAAAAATGAGTTTAAATTATTGTACCGAATACAACTTCGATCATCGTTCTATCTATTCCCGAACATGTGGGATTAGAGCCAATAGAGGCATCTTGGGGGTAATGCAAAGGGGATCACGATTAAAATTTTAATCCATATAACAATAAATGTATTTTGGGGAAAACTGTGCATTTTGTGTGAGGTCCCAAAAATCTACCAAACAAATGTGTTTTCCACTATGTCAAAATGATGAGAATGGACCGCACATTCAACTTTTAGAGTGTTAGCATGTTCTGCTCATCACCATGAAGTTTTCCCTAGCAAAGAGAAACATTGAGTGGGATGAAAGTGAGACAACTGGGTAAGGAAATGGGGGAGAGCATGGAATGGAAATGTCTAGTGAGTGTTAACCTCTATAAAAAGAAAAAAAAAAAAAAAAAGAGAGAAAATCCTAAAAATATGGCTCAAATTACCTCTTACAAAACGGCGTTGTTTGCGTCTCATCTCCGCGACTCTTGCTCAAACCCTGCAAATTTGCTCTATTTTCGCGCTTCCATCTGTCTATTAAAGGAACTTTTATTTTATCCAGTGAACGTACGCTCCTCTACGTTTGGTTTAGGCAAAAAAAGCGCTTGTACCGAGTACCGAGTTGTACCGAGTTTTTTGTCTAAAACCGAACGTAGAGGAGCGTCCGTTCAGTGGATGTAATAAAAGTTCCTATTAAAGCGACAATGAGACGAAGAATTTGGGTCGTCAACACACAAGTAGCTCTCTCCGAACCTTGCCTCCTCCGACCTCCCTCTTCCATTCGCAGACACTAATCTCCAACCAAACCGTAAGCTTCCGATCTCTACACACGATCGAACCCCGTTGACCTCAACTCCAAAGCCCTCAACCCATCTGAGCTGAAACTCCTCCCCCCTCTTCCATTTCTTTCGCCGCTTGCCCGACGACTTGCTCCGCAAATCTCTCTAGGACCAAATCATTCTCCCTAGCCCGATATCCAATCCCGAATCCACACCTCCATCGATGAAATCACCTTCTTGTTTGAAGAAGATCCTGCCGACCTTGCCCTCTATCCGAGCCACCACCACTCTTCCGATCTCTAAGCCTGATCCACTTCCCTAGCCAATCAGACCTAGCTTGATGCAATCAAAATTTAGGAAAATACCTAAGATTGCAAACATGGTGTAATAAAAAATTTAGGAGAGGGACCCAAATTTTTGATCACAAAATAAAACTTTTCTAAGTAATAAAAAAGACACAAAAGGACACAAAATAGATGAATAAACTAAAAAAACAACTTTTTTTCATAATATAAAAGACTTACAAATTTAGACACTTGCAAATGACTCAAACAAGACAAACACCTAAAGTTGCATTTCTTTGAGAGAAGGATACAGGTGGGGTGGATACTTGCGGCGAGAGAAAGAGGTTAGAAGCCAAAATAAAGAGGAGACAAGCTCGCAAGCTTTCTCAAAGAGAGAAGGAAAGAAGGAATTTGGACAAAGCTCGCAAGCTTTTCCAAATAACAAACCCGCAAGTTTACATTTCCAAAAATCAAATCATCACTTTTTTAAAACTGCCACAAACGACTTATATTTATAGACAAGAGAGGGGAATACAAATAGCCCTAAAAACCATTTAGTATTCTATATTAAATAAGGGAAATGAAAAGCCAACAGTCAACTCCAGAAAATAAAGCACCATAGCCACGGAAAAACCCCCAAACAGTCACGGAAAATAGTCCAGGCGGAACCCGAAGAGGCAACCGTGGGAACCAAGGAGGCAGCCGTGGGAACCAAGGAGCCAAGACACGGGAACCCAAGAGCCATCCACGAGAAATAAATGGACAAGGGGAAGGAGAAGAGACAAAATTAATGAGCTACTAATAAATTAATAAGTGAACTAAAAACATAGCTCATAAGGAGCTAACTCTTAGTTCAATAAATGAACTAAAAACCAGCTCATAATGAGCTAAATTCCAGCTCCAAAATTAATGAGCTAGCAAGCTCAAGGGAAGTCAAAACCAAATTTTTTTGGGTTTGATTTGACCCCCTTTTCGTCTACATCAGACTCCCCTACTTGAGGACTCATCTCCCGATGAGTTAGCTTTCTTCTAAAGGCGTTGCATCAAGAGACACCAAGGCTTGAGATTGCTCACTTGACACCAAGACTCAAATGACAACATGTCTCAAAACAAAACTTACATGATAACTAACGTGACATCAAGACATACACGACTCATAAGACTTACAAGACTAACTTGACAGACCGACTCACAAACCTAGGACTTTCTAACTTGCTCTGATACCAAATTAATGCAATCAAAAATTTGGGAGAGGGACCCAAATTTTTGATCACAAAATAAAACTTTTCTAAGTAATAGAAAAGACACAAAAGGACACAAAATAGACGAATAATCTAATAAAACTTTTCCTCTTGCAAATAATCTAATAAAAATGTCATTCAGTTGCCTATCCTAAATTAACAAGTCATCAACTATCCTAAATTAACAAGTCATTAAGGGTTAGAAAAGTTATGAGGGTTTAGTGCTTCTTTATTTGATGCATGTATTTCTTTTAGGTGTTGAACGAGTGGAAAGAAGAAGTTCATAAGGATAATAGGCGAAGCTCGTTGTGTTGAGGTAGGTAAATGTGGCTCTTTTAAATTTAGAAGAAAAATTCTATTTATTTCACTTATAGCATGTTTTACATTATTATGCAAGCTCTAACGTTCTTCCAATCACATTGCTTTTATATTCTTTTATGCTTTAAGTATTATGCTTATGTTTCTATGATTGCTTAATTGTTAAGAACTCTTTTGTAAATGATTTAGAGACATTTGAGCTTATACTTGTTACCATACATAAGCCTTTACTCATGCGCTAACTCACATTGCAAGTTCATCTTTTATGTAATAGTATTTAATGCATTTGTTTTTTCTGAAGTGATGAATCATGATTGCATTTGGCTCTTTTCTTTCTTCTTGCTATCATGAAACCATATCGCACATTAGGAGATAGTTAACCATATACATGAATAAGAATCTCCTTATGAGTAATTAAAGAATGAATGTATGTGCTTGTTGATGCAGAGGTATCTTTGGTAAAGGGATGCTCTTTCCAGCATTGGTGATGGTGGTTCTTATGAACCAAATGGTAAAGGTGGTTCTTATGAACCAAATGGAAAAGGATTGGCCAAATAAAATGTACCTGATCAGTACAAAAGATACTTTCGAGACGGGTGATTATAAGATATACGTTATATTATATGCATATGCAACACTTTATGGTTCATGAAAAAAATTCACGTATTGAGTTAAGTGATCGGTTGCAAGTTAAACTAAAGAAAGAGGCTTAATAGTGGACTTAAAGGCATGCTACTACATTCTTATGATTTGTTTAATGTTCCTACAAAAAGCATCGACATACATGTTATTTCCCTCGCCTTGTTTTCTCTAAATTTAATTGAAAAAGCATTTACCTATTGAGTTATGACTCACCCTTGTTGTGGGAAATTTTTTCTGGAGATTCTGCGAATAGAAAATGACAGACCGACCACAGCGCACTTACCGTCGTAGGGAGACGACATGCGGCAGATTATTTTGAGTTTTGTTAGTTTGTTGATAGATGATTATATGTATAGATTTTGAGAGAGTTAGATGTGCTTTGGATCCATTCTTTCGAAAGAACTCTTTATGTACTTATCTCTTTTGAAAGATCAATGAAAATGAAAATTGTATTTGGATTTGCCTTAATGGCTCTTTCATATTTTTATAGTAAAGATGTTAATTTTTGTTTGTTGGCTCAAGAAAAATGGCACGAATGCACGAATCC